ATCTATAAACAACAACAACATCGAAATTAGAATGGCCTGCAAGTCCTTACTTTCAATAGCCAAAATAACAATGCTGGCGTCGTATCGAGAGACGACCTCTTGATCAGATGAATATAGTATAAACCTTTTCCACCTGAAACAAAGAAGAACTATTAGTGGACAGGTCTCTGTCAGAAGGCCAAAGTATGTGCAAAATAATACCAGCTCAGCTGCTGTTGAACAGACGAAGTGGGCTGACGAACTACTGGTCTAATAGCCATACGATGACGTTGACGAACAGCCGACGAGTAAACTTGAAAGCAACGGTTTTAAAGAAATACGAGGAAGAAATGAGAAATCGAAGAAAGGTGAATGTGTCCTTACGCTGTTTTCTCGATTTGTGAGGCATCATTAGCATTTCCCTGTCCACTTCCGCAAAATCATCGTCTGGTATATCACCACGGTCTCTATCCAGACCAGAATTTTCGAAACGGCAAGATGCGACCTTGAAAAATGAAGAGTTGGCGCAATCACACTAGAGCAAGCAAAAGCATTACGTTGAAAAAAGCTAGGGCATCACCACTCTCAGATGACTGCGAAGAAAAGCTGACTTAAATCCTATTTTACGCAGTGCGAGCTTGAAACCAACCTGCAGTTCACTTTGGACTCTCTCTAAAATGTTGATACATGCTGTAGAAACATTCGTCCAATTTCCGTGGATGTCCACCTGAAAAGAAAAAAAGAGGTAATATTTGGTTCCAGGTTTCTATAGCTTTTCTCGCGCGTAGGATAGAAGCCACCTAACAATAAAAGAGCTGTGTATCTATAAGAGGAAATAGTACCGTTACGGCGTTGCTAGGGTATTCGCAAGTGCTACAAGAGAAAGTGTTCATAAGCCACACAATTTTAACCCCTGCTCTCGAAGCTGCCCGGATCCGAATGCAGCGGCAACTTTCGCAAACTGGGAATGAGAAAAGGTCTGCGGCATCTCATAAGACCTGGACTGGCCATCGCCTCATTCACGGTCATCAGTAAATATTCTTGTGTAGTTTCATACAGCTTACCGCCAGCGATCACGCCGTATTGATACCACCCGGTCAAGCACTGCAGGGCTTTGGCAACATTCACATGACTTTACTTTTGTGCCATGATGCACATTTGAAAGTATGAGAATGGGGGTGGGGGCGGGGCGAGAGAGAGGCTTTGGCGAAGCGAAGCGGAGTGCAAGTAAGTGAAAACGAAATCGTATATTGATAATATTGTGCGCCTCTTGACAACGATACCTACCAGGTTGACTCAAGGAGAACACTTCCATGCGGCGGTTGCGATCAGTCCATGCCACACGTCGTAGATCGGTGAACGCGAAAAGCTAGAAAGAAAATTATACAGATATCGTGTTTCTCTACATCTGTTGAGTCGACAGAATACGCATTATGACAGAGATACGAATGAGAG